AAAAGGTTTACGATTTAAAGTAATGTATAATAATTTAAGTATAGTTTATCCATAACCCATATGTTAATAGAATAGAAAATTAGAAAGATTAAATTAATCTTGATAACAGCAAGTTCATATCATAAATGCAATTAACCACTTAATGCTAAGGGTTCTTTTGTAAAGTGAGGTAAAAAAATAAGCAGTTTTTTTTTGCTTTTAATCGACATATTAATATTGTAGAAATGATTATATAAAGTCAAAACAAGTGTGAAATTAAAAAAAAACATTTTTTTAAAAAAATTAAAAATTCAAATATTTTTTTTTTAAAATCGCCAAAATCACCAAATCGAAATTTTGAACAATTATATAATAAATATTCCCTTACAAGAACAAATTTATAAGCTCTATGAAATAATAATCTATTTAACAATTCGATATTTCTATAGACTATAAAAAGCATTGTTATGCTCACATTTATAGATAAATTGCAAAAAGACTAAAAATTATCGCTTAAGATAAAAGATAATAAATATATATATAAAGAGCCCAGAAGTACTCGCAATCGCAAACATCGAAACAATTCTTAAGCGAGACAGAATCGTTCGAAATGGAAACAGAATATTTGTATGTGGCAAGAGGGTATCGGGCGAGAGCAAATCGAAGCACATTCGGCGCGCGAGAGGGTCTCATTCGAGATGCGTAAATGGTTAATGACCATAAAGTCTACTAACATACCAAGTTTCTTTCAATACTGTCTTTTAATTTTGCAAGCTCACTCTCAAAATCTTGACCCTGACATTCTTCATAAACTTGCTCTTCATATTTATTCAACTCATTGCTTAAAGTTTTAACTTGTTCTTTCTGGTGCTCTCTATTTGATTTCAAAACAACACCCTAAAAGAAAAAAAAAATAGATTTCAAATATATATATATATATATATATATATATATAAGAAATTATCAATATATGTCCCAAAATTTTTTTTTTTAATATTTATGGTCCTTTAAAAGAATAAGAGCAGCCAATTTAAATATTTTTGCAATGTTATATCTCCCATACAAATTACCAGCTACGATATATATTTCAAACTTATAATAATAGTGAGATCAAAAATTCAAATCAATTCCGAAAATTTAATGTTACATAGTTCCTGCAACCTTTTTTACATTGCGATAGAAAGGAACTTTAACTTATTACTTATAGGCTAAAGACTACTGAACCATTTGATTAATAGGTGTTCCTATATAAGACTAATAATTTTTGTACTGGACTTTCTTACCGTACCTAATAAGTATTCTGTAAGTACAAAAACCATTGTCTAGCAGGTTTCAGCCCAGCATATCATGGCCACTCAGGCGTTTAAAAATGCAGCAAACCCGAAAATTACACTTGTTCCTGTAAGCTTCAAATTTTTATACAATTTAATTTATTCATTAAGAAGTTCAAAAATTAAATTGACGGAGAATTTCAACTTGCCCAAGTATCTCCCAGACAAGGCAAAAGGTTCTAATAAGGTTAAAATTTATATTTGTTTGTGTAAGCAAATTTAAAATGGTATGTGCAATGCCAGGCCGGTCTGTGCAGCCTAAGCCCTTACTAGTCAAGAAAAGGGTGCTATGTCGGGAGTGCAAGTGAATATAATGCATGTGAATTATATTATAAAAAATCAAATTATGGTCAAAATTGATTTAATCAATCGCTATAAAATATGAACTTGGATTCATTATCTGATATGCCTATTTATTGAATTTCCTGAGGGTTTGTGCTTAATACACAAAGATCACAATAATTGTTGCTGTAGTTTCCGTTGGCATAAAGGTAAATTTGAAGAATCATAACGATTTAATTATGTGCCGTTTCCTGTTTCATATTTTATTTTCACTCTTTATTTAAATTTTCAGATTTCCTCTTGTACATTTTAAAGACAAACTTTTCAAGTTCTTTTGTTTGATGATAATTATTAATTTAATAATATGATATAAGTTTTCATGTTATACCTATTAGATTACTAGCATCTTTTCCTTCGCCTAGCAAGGGCTGAACAGAATCTTGCTAACAAACCCTCCGGCTCATCTAGACTTGTGCAGGTTGAAATCATCTGGCAATTTGATTTTTAAGTTTTCAATGAATAAATTAAATTGCATAAATATTTAAAACTTACAGGAACAAGTTTAATTTTCGATTTTTTGCATTCTAAGACCATCATATGCAGGACTGAAGCCTGCCAGACTATGATTTTTATAATTAGCACGCTAAGCATCACCAGTACAAAAATGTTTAGCCTTCCAGGCCACTATTTAACAAGCTTCTCAGTGAAATCATTTTGTACTCATATCATGTAACACTAGTGGCATTTACCAAAGTTATAAATAATAAACACTTTTTATAAATTTCAAAACTCTATCAAAATATGTAAATCAACATAACTCTTTTCTTAGTTTCACTTGTGAAGTACTAGATTATGTTCAGTTTATAAATGAACCTACATATTCTTGGTACTTTAGTATATATTTTCTTCGTCATTCGCCTACAGACCTACAGTTACTCATTCAATAATGATTTGAAATTAAGATGAATACCTCATGCTCTTTCTTCTTAATTGTGCTATTTAGATCATTCACGTCCTTGGAAAGATCATCATACTTTCTTTGAACTGACATTTTGAAATTTGTGCTGGGTACCTGAATTTTATAATTGAGTGTTATAGCAGTCAAAAAATCAAAACCTCAATAACAAATATACAAACCAAATTTCCAAATAATGTATTTAAAAGCATCTGAGTACTTATTTTTAATCTTTTTTATTTCATTATTTTTATCTGATAATTGTTGTGTTTGAATGTCCAACTCAGCTCGAATTCCACTATGCTTCTGAAGTTCACGCAGCTAAAAAAATGGTTATATAAATTAAATTTGCAAACTATATACACAATGAATAATTAGTTATTTCAACCTCTTGGTCGATTTTATCAAGGTCTGTTTCCAATGACTTTCTGGTATTTATTTTCTTAGCCATTTCAGATTTTAATTCATCCACATCACATTGTTCCACTAGCTTTTGCTGCTCTCTAAAATATATATTTATGTATATATATGTATTTAAAACTAAAACTAGTGGTGTATGGCATCGCGCCTTAAGGCAAATTGCTGTAACTTCCCGTACCGTAATGTTATGAAATATTTGAAAAATATTAAATGCTTTCAAATAGATTATTATTATAATACTGTAGCTTTCATTACTGTTATTTTATAGACAAAATATAAGAGTTTATAAATTGGACGACGACGTTTATAAATGTTTACAAAAAAAAAAAAAAAAAAACTAGTGGGGCGCATGGCATCGTGCCTTAAGGCAAATTGCTGGAACTTCCCGTACCAAATATTATTATCTTTTTTAAAGACGATTAACATTTTTGAAAAAGTTTTACTTAAAAAAAGTTAGATTTTTGAGAAACTATAAATTTGACACAAAATTACTTTTTTTTGAAAAAAAAAAAATTATTGAAAAAAATATTTTCTTTATTTTGACATATTTTGAAAATTCTGAACTTTTTTCAAAGTAATCGTACTGCTTTAACTGCATAGAGACGAAATCTCAAAGCGCGTAAGCGCCGCGTCGCCGTCTAACGGATAAGCATTGGTACTGAACCCATAGGATTTTTTTTTTTACTTTTTTCATTAGATCTCCGAAACCGCTAAACCTGCCTTCATGAAAATTTGATCAATTCTTCATCTTGTCAATACAAGTAAAATGTTTTTTGAATTATTAAAATCGGACGGCCTACGGGAAGTTAATTAATCGGATTTAAAATGAAGAACATTGTCTAATATTTATAAGAATTATATAAACAGTATTGCAAAGTTAAAATTATTTATTTGAAGTTTATGAGTGAGCTTTAGAACTTTAGCTAAAATTAGAACTAAAATCCGAGTTAATTAAAAAAAGCTTTTTTTTGGAAATAAAAAAAAATAAAATTGAAATTAAAAAAAATCTTTTTTCCAAAAGCCATCGTTTCGTCAAAACAAGCAGAAAGTTTTTTGAATCATTCAAATCGGATGCTCCGTTCTCTCAAAAACTCGATTTCTATTTTCTGCACTCTTTGCGACGTATATCCGAAACGGCTGTAACAACTTTTTCTAAAACCTAATCAGCACGTCTCCATATCAATAGAAATCGATTGTTTTTTAAATCATTCAAATAGGTTCTTCAGTACGCCCGAAATCACACACACATCCATGTTTTCTAAGGTATAGCAAAATGTTCAGAAACCTCTGAAACGTAAAGATATGCAAAAAAATTTCGATTTCGATTTTTGGACGATTACTATAACTTACCCTAGGGGAAGTTAATAATTGAAATTGAATAGCTTTATAGTGTATCGATCATATATAATAAAGTCATGCAGTTCATGCATTTTCATGTGCAAAAACATTGATTATCAATTGATTAGAAAAAGGCAATTAAAAGACTAATAATTGTTAAATATATCGCATTAACCTGTTAACAATTTCAATTTTACTTGCTATTTCTTTAAGTTTATTTGCTGACTTATCAATTTCATCTAACTGCTTTTTGATAGAATCTGCTTCTTTTTCAACATTATCCATTTGTGATGACTTTGATTTAATTTCGTTTCTTAAAGCCGCCTGCAAATTTAAATATTAAGTTTAGATAAAAAAATTAATTTAATAATTTAACAATCAAGATTATATTTAGATAAAAAATTATCACAAAGATACATTTATTGCGTACCTGATTATCTCTCAATTTATTT